AGTACAAAGTATTACTTTAATTTATGATCAGCTAATTTAATCATTACATTTTTTTTTTTTTTTTTAACCAATCATCAAATAGCAATTCCTTTTTTATCTTTTCCCATTATAATTTAAAAATGAAATTAAAAAAAAAATGCATAGAATGTTTCATTTTATGTTTGAAATTTGTTAAACATATTTTTCATATCATTTTCATTAATTGTAAAGGATAATGAAAATTATTTGATGAATTAGTAAATATTACAAATTATTTAATTTTTAATTATTATTTGCAATGAAATTAGCATAGGAATATGATGAGAATATTGGAAATTTTTAAATTATTAAAATATTAGAAAGACGAAGAAGAAAAACAAAAAGAAAACTTTTAATAAATATATTTTTGAAAAAAATTTCTCTTTTCTCTTTTTCTTTTCTTTTTTTTTTCCTCTACATAAATGAAGATTGGAAAAAAAAAAGCAAACAACTAAATTAACTGATTAATGAAAAAACTAATTTTCAATTAACTTATCAAAAATGGGTATAAGATGAAAATGGACAATATTCTCTCCCTTCACCGCCTTTAAAAGAAGGGGAAGAAAAAAACCAGAAAAAAAAAGTGTTAATTGATTTTCATTAAAGTGTAACAATTTGGTATTCTGATCAAAGAACTGATAGCAAACTAACCGGTTAAATCAATAAATGATAGCATAGATAAGAAAATTAACGAAAACATTTTCATTCTTTCTCTCTTAAAAACCCGATTTTTCATATTTCAACTTATTAAATGAATTGAAATGAATGAATGAATGAATGAATGAATGAATTCATTTATAACAAATTGTAAATGAATATTTATAGAAATTAAAACAAAATAATAAATAAAATTTAGCATAAAAATAATTTTATGCTAAAAATTAATTATACTAATTATAATTAACAAAATAGCTTAATTTCAATTGTAACAATTATATAGATTAAACAAAAGTATAAATATTAAATTAATTAATTAAATGATGATAAAATTTACATTATCGCGAAAAGAAAAAAAACAATCTATAACATATTATAATAATTATAAAGAAATTAAATTGCTTACATTAATTAACACCGTTTATATATGCTAATTTAGGTAATAAAAAATAATTCAGGTAATACTAAAAAAAAATAAAAATAAACAAAAAATATAACTTAAGTAATATTAAAAAAAAAAAAAAGACAGATTTGACTAAAAAAAGACAAGCAGAAAAAGATAAAATAAGCCAAAATAATATCACAATTTAGTATCATTTTTTTTTTTTTTTTTT